GGCATAGTCAGCAGTCTTTTGCTAGGGTCGGGTTGGATTGGTTCAGCAAAGCTGAGTGTTTTTTAGAGGTAGTTAGGGATGATAGGAAGAGGGGGTGCGGTGGTGCTGGGCAGCCAAGGGAGTAGGAGGGATAGATAGGCAAATAGTGAGTAAAAAGGTAAACAGCTACATTTCATCTCAGAAGTCACACAGAGTGCCTTGGAAAAAGTAGGTCATTTACCCATGCTAAAACAGAGCCAAGAGGGGGAGTTTAGGGGTAGAACCAGGAGATGTCTTGGCAGACAGAGTAGAGGAAGAAGGTAAAGTGGCAATATAGGGAGGGGCAGGGCATTTAAGTTTCTTTAGGGATTTGGGAAGTACTTGTGGCTTTTAAGAGGAGGGGGGTTGATGGCCACAGTTTTTACTCGAGAGGTGTGGTTCCTGGAGCGGGGGAATTAGGTGCTGACAGCAGTGGGTCTTCTTCAGGAACAGGTGTAAGGTGGAGTTTGGTTGGGCTGAGAAGAGCACCGGAGAATCAGTGGAGGATGCCAATTGGTGAGTCAGTGGGTATATGGGGAGCTCTTTTTAATCTGGAAAGATGGTACCAAGAGATATGTTCTGAGAGTTTAGCTGTGGTGGGGGTTGTGAGAAGAATTTGAAAGTGACCTTCCCACTTTAAGGCTTGATGGGTTTAAGAGTTTTTAGGAAGACGTGTTCTTCTGGTAGGAGAGTCCAGTTGGTGGAGCCTTTGTGGGGCTTTGGGAGGGCCTGGTCTCCTTGTACACAGAGAAGATGGCGGATGAGGGAGAGTGTTGGGAGGTATTCTCCTAGATGAGAGTTAGAAGGGGATCTGTTTTGTAAGAGGAAAGGGCATCCATACATACTCAAAAGGGCTGAGAAAGGAGGATGCTTTTGGACTGGCTCTGATGCAGACTGGGACTATGGGCAGAAGGGAGGTCCAGGGTTTCTGGCCTTCAAAAGTGAGTTTGGTTAACTGAGTTTATGGATCCCATTTGCACTTTCAACTTTTCCTGATGACTGGGGTTGGTATGGGATATGGAGGCGCTACTGGACACTGAGGGACTGATAGACTTATTGGGTGATGAAGCTATGGCTGTTGTCTAATTGTATGAAGCATGGGAGACCAAATCTAGGGATGATTTCTGTTAAAATAATTTGGGAGACTACTGCAGCTGTTTCTGTGGAGATGAGGAGAACGCTTCTGCCCACCCGGAGAAGGTATCTACAAGGGTAAGAATAAACTTAGTCTTCTTGACAGGAGGCATGTGGGTAAAGTCTATTTGCCAGTCTTCCCCTGGGAGTGTTCCTCTTAGCTGATGTGTAGGGATAGGAGAGCAGAAGTCTCCTTGGGAGGAAGTGACAGAGCATATATGACAGTTTGAGGTTATGTCTTTCAGTGAGGTAAATAGGTGGGGGAAGAGAAATAAGGGTGAAGGAGAAGGTACAAGGGGCACACACTGATATGGAAGGACTGGTGAAGAGATGTTAGAATTTCTTTGAATTGTTCTTGGGGGAGGATGAGTTTTCGATCTTTGTCCAGTTCCTTTGGAGGGAGACCACTTGTAGCAGTGAAGCTTTTTCAGTGGTGGAATATTGGAGTTGGATTGTGGGGGTAATGAGGAGAGGGGCAGGGGCAGAAGAAAGGGAGGCTTCTTTTGCTGCCTTGTCAGCCTTTCTGTTTCCTCTTGAGATCTCATCTGATCCTGTTTGGTGTCCTCAACAGTGTATAACTCCTGTTTAGCTTGGGAGGTGTGCAGCTTGGAGGAGTTGGTAAATATGGGGACCATTGGTGATGGGGGTTCCTTATGTAGTAAGAAATCCCCTCTTGCCAGATGGCAGTGTGAGAATGGCGAATGTGATAGGCATATTTGGAGTCCGTAAAAATCTTGACTTGTTTGCCTTTGGAGAGGGTTAGAGCCCTGGTGAGAGCTGTAAGTTCCACCTTTTGGGAGGAGGTCCTTGGCATTAGGGGTTTAGCTTCAGTTATTCGGTCAAGGGAGACAACTGCATACCTAGTGATTTTATGGGAGTCGACTGACTTGGAAGAGGAGCTATCTATAAATGACTGGTCATCAAGGTCAGGGAGAGATTCAGGGGAGATATTAGAGAAATGAGGCTGTAGGAGATAAAGGATTTCAGTACAGGAGTGAGTGGGAGGGGAGGAAGATATTGGAAATAGAGATGCTGGATTGAGGGAACACTTTTGGAGAGGCATCACTCAGGGTTTTCAAGAAAGAGGGCATGGAGTAGTTAGATACGAGAAGGAGAAAGTGTGCTCGGTACTCGGGAGGAGAGATCTTGTAGATTATGTGGGCTGTGGACTATGGTGTCTTGAACAAATGTTAGTTTTTTGCTTTCAAGGGTAGGGTGGTGGCTGCTGCTAGGGCTGAGGCAGGTCGGACTTTTTTTTTTTTTTTTTTTTTTTTGAGACGGAGTTTCGTTCCTGTTACCCAGGCTGGAGTGCAATGGCGCGATCTCGGCTCACCGCAACCTCCGCTTCCCGGGTTCAGGCAATTCTCCTGCCTCAGCCTCCTGAGTAGCTGGGATTACAGGCACGTGCCACCATGCCCAGCTAATTTTTTGTAGTTTTAGTAGAGACGGGGTTTCACCATGTTGACCAGGATGGTCTCGATCTCTTGACCTCGTGATCCACCCGCCTCGGCCTCCCAAAGTGCTGGGATTACAGGCTTGAGCCACCGCGCCCGGCTAGGTCGGACTTTTTGTTGGTCAAGGACAGCAAGGCCTATTCCATGGTTTTCGGCTGTGGAGAGTGAACGGCTGAGAGATGTCAGGCAGAGATAGAGCAGGAGCGGTTATGGGGCAGCTGCTTTAAGTTTGTGGAAGCTAGGTATTATGTTGTGTGAAGGATTTAGGGGCTCATTTAGAGGGCCTTTGGCTGTTTCATAGAGGGGGTGGGCTAGGAGGGCAAAGTGGGGAATCCATATTCTGAAGAATCCTACCAGTCCTAAGAAAGAAAGGATTTCACTCTTAGAGGAAGGTGGAGGTAGGCTGTCGATTAATGCTGCCTGTGCCAGGGTCATGGCTTGGGCCCCAGGGGACAGTTGGGACTCCTAAGTAAGTCACTGTTGGAGTGGAGAGTTGTGCTTTGGAGGGGGAAGCAAGAAAGCACAGAAGGGTGGAAAGAAAGTTTAGAAGGGTAATAGTGTGAATATGAGAGTCCTCTAGGCAGGGGCTACAGAGGAGGAGGTTGTCCACATACTAGAGGAGCCGGCTAAGGGAGCAGTCTAGGGAGGTGACGTCTTGAGCTAGAGTTTGTCCAAAGAAATGAGGGCTATCTTTAAAGACTTAGGGGAGGACTGACTAAGTAGGTTGTCGTGACTGGAGGGTTTCAGGGTCAGTCCAAGTGAAAGCAAAAAAAAAAATTTTTTTTTTTTTTTTTTTTTTTGAGACGGAGTTTCGCTCTTGTTACCCAGGCTGGAGTGCAATGGCGCGATCTCGGCTCACCGCAACCTCCGCCTCCCGGGTTCAGGCAGTTCTCCTGCCCCAGCCTCCTGAGTAGCTGGGATTACAGGCACGCGCCACCATGCCCAGCTAATGTTTTGTATTTTTAGTAGAGACGGGGTTTCACCATGTTGACCAGGATGGTCTCGATCTCTTGACCTCGTGATTCACCCGCCTCGGCCTCCCACAGTGCTGGGATTACAGGCTTGAGCCACCGCGCCTGGCCCAGCAAAAAAATTCTGGCAGTCAGCATGAAGAGGAATGATAAAAAAGGCATCCTTTAGGTCAATGAGCATGTAATGGGTTGTGTAATAAGGGAAAAGAGCATGTAATAAGGGAAAAGAACCTACAGGGATTGGGAACTACTGGACGGATGGGAAGGACTGCCTGATTGATGGGCTGGAGGTCTTGGACTAGCTGATATAAGCCACCTGCCTTTGTGACAGGGAGTATAGAGGTACTGTATGGAGAATGAATTGGCCTAAGGTAACCTTGCAAGAGGAGTCTGTTTACGATGGGTTGTAAGCCCTTTAGGTGCCTTAATGAAATGGGATACGGAGAGACATTAGGAAATTTGGAGGGGTCTTTTAGCTGGATTTTGATGGGATCATGCTGAGCTCCTAGAGAAGGGGTAGTGGTCCCACACTATTGGATTAACAAGAGAAGTGGGGAGTGAATAATGGGGGAAGGAGTCAAGGGCTGATGTGGTACCGGAGAGGAATAGGAGAGAATCTGGTTGTGAGGAACAGAAAAAGGTGATGGAAGCTTTGAATTTGGTTAGGAGGTCTCAGCCTAGGATGGGGCAATGAGGCATAAGGAAAGAATGTGAGAAAACAGTATCAAACAGGGAACAAGTAAGAGGTCTGGTGGTGCATGGATGTGAGATGAGTCCATCAACCACCACAACTGAGACCTGAGAGGGATGAGTTGGTGCTGAGAATTTAGGCAAAGCCAAGTAGGTGGCCCTGGTATCAATTAAAAAAAAGACTGGCTTACATGCTATTAGTAGAGTTACCCTGGGCTCTGATGCAGTGATGGCAGTTGGGGCTGGGGGCCCTGCGCCTTGTCAGTCATTGGTGACTAGGCTGAGAAGCTGTGGGAGTATAAGCAATGCTTCACTTTTTGCTTTGCTGAAGGGGTGGTGGCTCTGAGGTGCAGGCTTTTCTGTCTGTTGAGTGGACAGTCAGACTTCCAGTGGCCTATCTGCTGGCAGACTGGGCAAGGGCTTTTTGGCACTTGTAGGTTAGGACATGCCCATGCCCAGTGGCCTTTTTTGCTGCACTTAAAACAAGGCCTGGGAGGCTACTGCTATCAGGTCTTTTGTGCCCTTGGGTACAATGGCTAGGCTGATGTTGGATAGCTGCAGCTAGAAGCTGGTATTTGGCACATTCTCTTCGGGCTTTATCTAATTTACTTTGCTCATCCCTGTTATTTAAGACTTTGAAAGCCAGGTTAAGGTCTTGTTTGAGGGCCATCTTATTGGGGGCAGATTGGGAGATAAAATGAGTATTAAGAACAAGAGTTCCACCCTAGCTAGCGCAGCCCCGGTCCCAGCCCCGGCTGTCCTGGCATCGCTTCCGAGCGCGGCAGCAGCTGACTGTGCCTTCACAATCCGCTGGGACCCGCGAGCCCTGCCACCGTTATGAACATCCGCAGTGTGAGGCCAGAGGACCTGATGAACATGCAGCACTGCAACCTCCTCTGCCTGCCCGAGAACTACCAGATGAAATACTACTTCTCCCATGGCCTCTCCTGGCCCCAGCTCTCTTACATTGCTGAGGGTGAGAATGGGAAGATTGTGGGGTATGTCCTGGCCAAAATGGAAGAGGACGCAGATGATGTGCCCCATGGACATATCACCTCATTGGCTGTGATGCGTTCCCACTGGCACCTCGTTCTGGCACAGAAACTGATGGACCAGGCCTCTCGAGCCATGATAGAGAACTTCAATGCCAAGTACGTCTCCCTGCATGTCAGGAAGAGTAACTGGGCTGCCCTGCACCTCTATTCCAATACCCTCAACTTTCAGATCAGTGAAGTGGAGCCCAAATACTATGCAGATGGGGAGGATGCCTTCGCCAGGAAGCAGGATCTCACCCCGATGGCCGATGAGCTGAGGCGTCACCTGGTGCTGAAGGAGAAGGGCAGGCACATGGTGCTGGATGCCATCAAGAACAAGGTGGAGAGCAAAGGCAGTTCACCTCCGAGCTCAGGAGAGGCCTGTCATGAGGAGAAGGGCCTGGCTGCCGAGGATAGTGGTGGGGACAGCAAGGACCTCAGTGAGGTCAGCGAGACCACAGAGAGCACAAATGTCAAAGACAGCTCAGAGGCCTCCGACTCGGCCGCCTAGAGCCTGCCCCATCCCTTCCTCACCCCACAAGCTTTCACAATAAATTTGCTCCGTGTAAAAAAAAAAAGAACAATAGTTCCTGCTCAGGAGGCAGGGTCGACACAAGTATATTTTTGGAGAGCCTCTGTAAGGTGGGAAAGGAATTGGGCAGGATTTTCATCTGCTTTTTGGTTAATTTGAGTTTTTCAAAATTCATGGCCTTATGGGTAGCTCTGTAAAGGCCTGCAATAAGGCAAGTAATCATATGGTTAAAAGACACCCGGCCAGGGTCTGTGGGATGGTACTCCCAGGAAGTCTCTTCCCAGGGGATGGCAGCGGCTCTTACGGCTAGTAGGATCTTGCCTGAAGATCATCGGCATGTGCCTGAGGTGCGAGCCACTCTTCCCTTCTCTTCCGGAAGGAGGGTAGAAGAGAGGATAATATAGAGATCATGCCAAGTGAGTTCATAAGACTGGCTTAGATATTTAAATTCTTTGATATAAGTATCAGGATTGGAGGAGGACCCCAGACATTTTTCAATCTGGGAGAGATCAGAGACGGAGAAGGGGAGGTGGACACAGATGATCCTTTTGGTCCTTGCTACCTCCCAGAGGGGAAGCAAGAGAGCTGGTTGCTGGGCATGTTGGGTGGGTAAAGGGTGGAGACAGGGAGGACTCAGTCAGATGCAGGGTGGTTGGTGTGGGTAAGAGGTAGGGCCAGAGTGGGGGCATATGGGGGTGAGGATGGTCCAGGAGGAGGAAAATCAGTGAGGTCAAAGGAAAAGGAGTAGCTGGTTGGGGCTATGGGGAGTGTGGCAGGAGATGAGTCACTGACAAGGGCCGTGGGGAGGGTGACAGGGGTCAGTCAGGTTTGGAGTGAGCAAGTATAATTTGGAAAGTAGAACAGGACTGGCAGAGGGAAGGATGGCTACAGAGAGTGAAGAAAACTTGAACATAAGGAATTTCAGACCATTTCCCATTGTAGTGGCAAAAGCTGTCTAAGTTTCTAAGTATATTGAAGTCAAAGATGCCATTTTCAGGCCACTGGGAGCCATTGTTTAGTTTGTATTGAGGCCAAGCAGTATTGCAGTAAAAGATAAGTCTCTTAGGGTGAACCTCTGAATGGAGGCTGAGATTAAGATGCAGGAGACACCCAAAGGGAGGAGTTTCGGGAGGGGTAGACTGAGAGGCTCCCATAGCAAATGGGGATGTAGGTAGAGGAAAAAGAGACTGCCGATGACAGGGATGGGAGGAGAGGGTGCCCCCTTTCCTTTGGGCCTTGTCCGGAATAGAGGAGGTAGCTGCTGAGTCAGGCATAGCTGAAATGGAGGAACCAGAGGCCTGGAGGCTGAAGAAGCCGTTGGCCCAGCGCTGGGTCTTTCAGGAAGGCAGAGACGGTCAAGGGTTCCGGGTAAATGGCAAGAGTCTGTCTTACCCCTGTGGAGGCTCTGACGGTGAATGAGGTTGCCAACAATGGGAGAGTCTGGGAGATCCTCCAGGTATTCAGCTGGTTTGGGAAGGGGAGGGTGGCAGGGAGAGGGGTGATCAGAGAGGGAGGGAGGGATAGAGAAAGAGCTCTCTAAGGGTGCCAGACTACAGCCTACCCCTTCCTGGGTTTTGGCACCAAAATGTAAGGTCAGCCAAGAGAAAGGACGAGTAGACCCAAAGTCAGGCAAGCAAGTTGATTGACCTGCCAGGTTGCTCCATAACAGTCAGAGGCAGCCCTGAACTTACAAAATGAGGGGTTTATATGGGATGAGAGGGGCCTAAGGGAGTCTCCAGACTGAGATAGTCTATCAGCTTTGTAACAAGCAAGAAGATAGTTTATCAGCTTGTGACACACTTGCAAATACATCATCCTGTGAACTTTGTGGTGGCAGTTAAAAAAAAAAACTTGGAATTTACAGGTATGTGTAAAACAAGAATTTACAAGTACATGTAACAAAGGTTTGTTTCTCATGACCTCTCCTGTGCTGCCCAGATAGCTGTAATCAGGCTTTGCTCAATGTGGAATGTCTGGTAGCCTTGCTGTGGCACCTGGATAGGAGTTTAGGAATCCAGCTGCAGAGCCATCAGAGTGGGAATCAGCTGCACTAAGGGGGTTTTCTGGGGCAGCTTGTCTCTAACACAACAGGGATAAGTAGGTGAGTAACTTTATTTATCAAAGTAGGAAACTCCATCATATTATTTTAATGCACATGACTATGCCATTGATACATTTTGGGATATTGAATACAGAAACACAAATACCAATGAATTATCTCTTTTCAAGTAGCAACACAGGAACCTCTCTCTGCACATAGATAGCCCTACTGTAGTCAGGAAGACAACCTCTATGCTTAGAACTTGAGGGCCCAGATTTAAAACACTGTGACTATTCATGACAGGGAATTTTTCTCTTTCCTTAGGAGCCATTTTGGTTTTACCAGTTCAGACTGAGATTGTGACTGAGTTTGAGAAGTGAAGACTGCTATTCTTTCTTAAAACATCTCCCTTTGGAGCACAGTAAAAGTGGAGAGAATGGCTATAAATAACCCATGCAAAAAAACACAAATCCCAAACACACAAAAAAACACAGACTATTTTTACTACCGATATTTTTCTGTTTTTGAGTTACTTTTTCTCTTTCAAGATTTTGTCTTGGTCTTTTTTTTTTTTTTTTTGAGATGGAGTCTCACTCTGTGCCAGGCTGGAGTGCAGTGACACAATCTTGGCTCACTGCAACCTCTGCCTCCTGTGTTCAAGTGATTCTCCTGCCTCAGCCTCCCCGGTAGCTAGGATGGGCATGCTACCACACCCAGCTAATTTTGTATTTTTAGTAGAGATGGGGTTTCTCCATGTTGGCCAGGATGGTCTCAATTTCCTGACTTCGCAATCTGCCTGCCTCAGCCTCTCAAAGTGTTGGGATTACAGGCGTAGCCACCGTGCTTGGCATAAATAAATCAGTTTCTTTTTCTCTTCTTTCTTTTGAGATGGACTCTCCCTCTGTCACCCAGGCTGGAGTGCAGTGGCACAATCTTGGCTCATTGCAACCTCCGCCTCCCAGGTTCGTAGGATTCTCCTGTCTCAGCCTCCCACGTAGCTGGGACTACAGGCATGTGACACTACAAGGTGAGGTTGCGGTGAGCTGAGATTGTGCCACTGTGCTCTAGCCTGGGCAACATGACCAAAACGACATCTCAAACTTTTGCTAATTTTTTGTATTTTTAGTAGAGACAGAGTTTCACTGTGTTAGCCAGGATGGTTTTGATCTCCTGACCTCGTGATCTGTCCACCTCCGCCTCACAAAGTGCTGGGATTACATGCATGAGTCACTGCGCCCAGCCTATAAATCAGTTTCTTAATCTCAGAATCTGTTGGGCTAGTGACTAACATATTGGGCAGCTCAGAGAACATTTCCACTAATGCAGAAAGTTTATCATGCACTGCTGTTCCAGGCAGGAGAATCACTTGAAAGCAGGAGAATCACTTGAACCCAGGAGGCGGAGGTTGCAGTAAACCAAGATTGCACCATTGTGCTTTAGCCTGGGCAACAAGACCAAAACTCCAGCTCTAAAAAAAAAAAAAAAAGATGCCTGTAATCCCATCACTTTGGGAGGTTGAGGCAGGCAGATCACAAGGTCAGGAGTTCAAGACCAGCCTGGCCAATATGGTGAAACCCCATCTCTACTAAAAATACAAAAATTAGCCAGGCATGGTGACATATGCCTATAGTCCCAGCTACTCTGGAGGCTGAGGCAGAATTGCTTGAACCTAGGAGGCAGAGGTGGCAGTCAGCTGAGATCGTGCCACTGCACTCCAGCTTGGGTAATAGAGTGAGACTCTGTCTCAAAAAAAAAAAAAAAAAGGTTTATTTAACTTTTTTTTTAAAGATGGGGTTTCACCATGATGGCCAGGCTGGTCTTGAACTCCTGACCTCAGGTGATCCACCCACCTTGGCCTCCCAAAGTGCTAGGATTACAGGTGTGAGCTGCTGCGCCCGGCCAGCGATTTATTTAACTTTTACAAACTTACACAGCTACATGTAGCATATAGCTATTGCACAGCTGAGCTCTAGAAAATGAGGGGATGGACTTTAGATTCTAAGAATTCTTTAAAATTCTGATACTCTACATAATTTTTAAAAACATACTTTTAAGCCCCAATCCCCATCTGAGCTATAATAAGTTAACTGAGACCTACATGACAAAAAGACAACATACATACATTAGTTATCTTGGTGTCACACAGGGCTGTCAGACACATCTGTGGTCCTGATGGAGTTAGTTGTCATTCAGGTGAAGGCATCTAGGATTCAAAGAATGACAGACTGTCTCTAAGAAAGGGTCCTTTTCCTTTTCTTTTCTTTTTTTTTTTGAAATGGAGTTTTGTTCTTGTTGCCCAGGCTGGAGTGCAAGGGCATGATCTTGGTTCACTGCAACCTCCTCCTCCTTCTCCCAGGTTCAAGCGATTCTCCTGCCTCAGCCTCCCGAGTAGCTGGGATTACAGGCAAAATCCCAGTGGCTCATTTTGTATTCTTAGTAGAGATAGGATTTCTCCATGTTGGTCAGGCTGCTCTTGAACCCCTGACCTCAGGTGATCTGCCCACCTTGGCTTCCCAAAGTGCTCGGATTACAGACATGAGCCACTGTGCCCGGCCGATAGGGTCCTTTTTCTAACAGAAAAAAAAATTGTTTGCACCCAGACTAGGACCAACTCCACAGGAGGAGTCATTCCACTCTCAGAGGTGCAAAACACTGCCCAAAGGTACTCAGCTACAACACCAAAACAGTGCTTGGAGCCAAACCTCAATAAAGACAGTGCTTGCTCTTCCAACAGTGTAACACCATCACAGGCATCACATGAGCCTGGATAGCTGACAACCGCTGGATGATTCCTGAAACAGCTTTTTCATTATTTGTTTCAGATACCTAGACACTCCAGGTAGAAGACATATCAATTGAATGCTGGCTGCAAAACAGGTGTGGAAGCACCGATTGCATACCCTGCTGTCAAACCCTTTAACAGGAATCCCTTTCTCATGTTTTCAGTTGTTTTATCCAACATTCAGAAAGTTCCTGCCATGTGCCAAGCGCTGTGATTG